AAGACCTCAACGGCACAGATAAAGGAAGCCATCGACAGAGCCGGTTAGTTCGCTCTGCTTCTACTATTCGCACTATTCTTAGAAAAGAACACAAGACCTTTACGAATTAAATGCATTGTTCCAGATCATAAAAAACATCATCCAATGTATCCATGGTCAACAATTCATCAGGAAGACTTGTCCGACGATTCAGCGTTTGAGGGTGGTTCTGAAGACGAGGAGAGCAGCGAGAATATAGAAGAGGATGAAGATGCAAGCGAGTAATCCCAACACCCAGGGTTTCTGGAGAGGTTCCGGCAGCTCTCTTAATCGCGAAACTCCTGAGTCCTTAAATGATCTCGATTCCTTAGACAGTTTCATCAGATTTCCTACGAGTAAGACCAACAAGTTTTCGTAGCCTCTTTGAGAAATAAAAACTTTCACATACCACCATTATTCCTAAACCGAATTAAGGGATTGCAGCAGATGTCTGATGCAGAACCGGCCACTTTAAAAACTCTAAATCTACTCCAGTTGCATTTTCATTTATGAACGCCGTTAATTAATGGCAGTCTCCACAGAAAGCATCCATGTATCAACAGCAACGACAAGTTCATTGATTTTGAGCGTGTTTGGTCGTAAAACTATACAACATAGCATAATAGCCACTATTAAAATGAAATTGGAAAAAATTTTACAATTTCACAAATCGCCTTATTCGTACAGCATATCAAATAACGATCAGATAAGTTAATAACATCACAACTCTTGAATGTACATACAGCTTGGTAAGACAACTGACAGAGGGGTGAGAACGTATTCCGATCACAAATCGAACAGCTTGAGAAAGATTAATCAATGTTCGCAAGGTCCAGCATGATCGCCTCCATCTGAATGGCTGTCATGTTCCTTCTTCTTTTCCACGTGACCCCGACAGTTGCCAGTTTCGCAGTCCTGTCAATGGATTACTGAGCAAAATGAAAGACAAGGCGACTAAAAAACCTACAACATACGTGTCTTCTGAAACGTGATAAAATTGTTAGCATCACTGGTTGGAAAAATATCCACCAAAGCTCAACTACAGTATAGCTAACAGCTGTTCCGTAGAATACTAGGCACTACATAAGTTGCTAATCTTGAGGGGGATAAGAACTTTGACATGCCACTTGTGGTCCCTTGTGATCGGTTGTTATAGGGGTGAATGATATAGATTTCGGTGTTCAAAAGTTGTTCATGAACCGCTCACACAAACCTTCCGACACAACTATTAAAAGAAGAGAATGCAGGAGATGAATTCCACTAAGCACCAGGCAACTGGCCGAAATCACAGGTTTTAAGTCATGATTACGTATTAAAAGAGGTAAAGAGGCGGAGAACCTGTCACTTAACCATCCTATCAGAACCGAACCTGGTGGTATGCAGACGGGGGCTTATGACGGCAACGCAAAAAAAAAATACAAAAAATATACGAAATCGTAACTAAGCAGGAAACCATATGTCGGAATGAACATAAAGGTACATCTCAGCCGGAACACAGTATAAGTTTCTCGGTCAGATTTAAAATTAGGCATGTTGCAAAGCTGAATGATGACTTCTACCTCAGCAAAACCATCTCACTCCTTTGCCCTACCGCTGCTGAATTAGCCAGACCTTTGCGTCTACTGCCCGGTGATCGTGGTGATAGCGGCTGATGCGTTCACACTTCGGAAAAGTCAAAGAATGATAGGAACAGACAATTCCGTCAACTGATAATCACGTGATCGATAAGGTCTACTATCCTTGAAGGCGTTACACAAAAGTGGTTATTTTACCGATTCATGTTATGTCCCAGTCATTTTGAAGAAGGAAACCTCATCGAAATGTCACCTAATAAAAGAAAGTCTGAAGCATGAGAATGAAAATGGTATGGAAGGTATTTCATTACTAGAAAGCAACTTATATGAAAGCAGTAATAAGTTGATAAATATAATGAAGAAAATAGCCGAAAAGCAGTATGAATGCGATCAAGGGCCTTCATCCACTCCACTCCGGTTCACGGACATAATATTTCGCAAAGCCATCTAATTGCATTGACTTGATGTTTTGTTAACTGCTATTCTAACGCCGCAGTACGCGAAGCGAAAGTCTCACAAGGTTGGCGATTTATGGACAAAACTTGAGTCTCGAACTCGCCCGAGAAGCGCAAGTGCGGGTTCGAGTCCTGTCCGGGACTGAGGTTTTGTCCATAAATCGCCAACCTTGAGAGACATCTAATTGTAATTCGAAAATAAGACCAGGAATCGGAATCGTCATTTTTACAACCCATGCAACACCAATACCGATAAGAAAAGGCGAGAAATATCTGAAAAGCGTACCGAGTCGTCGCTGCTACTGCTGTCCTGCCACGTTTTCTTCTTTTTGTAAATACAACAACATTTGCTTTTCTTCCTGCCCAAATTCTCGTTGTCAACGGTATCTGTGGTCCAGTTCACATGAGGTCTCTCAGGCTCGCGAGATAGACGCAGAACAAGTTCGGTCTGAAATATTGCATGACGACAATAAATGAATGGTGCAAATTTATAACTTATTCACGATGCTAATGATTCAGCCGAGTGCTTTTTCGCTGGCTACGTGTGTCTGGATTGCATTTGTTACGAACCTCACGCGGTAAGCAGACACAGCCAGGTGGAGCACTTTTCCCGCGCATATTGTGGGACACCATGTCACTTATGTCACTTGGTGGCCTCCTTAAATTAAAGACGCATTTTCCCAGAACTCCCTTGAGTAATGGGCAATGGACGAGGTGTTCGAAGTTTTTAATTAAACTCCGGCAATTGCGATGAGGATGCATTTGGGGAGAAGCTAACTGAAGAATATGGTTTTCATTGGAACTGATGTAATTCTTGAGTCGTGTTTTGAATCCGTGATGAATTGTAATTTCCAAGCGATGGAGGCTGAATCAATTATAGATGGTGTATTCACCCACACATAAAGCTATTTGTATAAGAGCAATTGGAAAGCAACTGCTCTTAAACTTATCACTGCGCTGTGGATGAATTTCAGACCGAGACAGAGAAAAAACTAGAACTTCTGCTTCTGAACTGCTTTCGGAGTACTGTCCCGAGCCCGGGCTCCTTTCTGTTATCCTTTATAGAAAGGTTTCGAACACCGTGACTTAGATCATCCCCTCGCACACTGTTTGTACCACCTCAGCATAAAATTTTTATACAACAGCAGAAGCCCGGGGAATTCTGCCATCGAGATGGACGGAAGACACGCCGGATACTGGCGCCACGCAGTGCCGTAAGTTAAGCGTATTAATATACAAGTAGTAGTAGTAGATACCTTTCAAAGAATAAGACCGAAACAAGTACATTGGTATATTAACATTGAAAGCACCAGTTTCTCGATGCGCGACACCACGTACGAACATCGACAGCAGACATCACACTTTCAATCTGAGTGCTATTATGAAAACAACCACTTCGCCTACGCACGCTAAGTGCATCACATGTCTACAACCACTTATCTACGATGAAATTTGTCAGCGGATTGTTTGATGTATGAGATTAAGATGACACATTCCGAAATTGAACACTTTGTGGTCGCTTTGCGAATATCCACCCAGACCTCTCTCTCACAATCCTCCCTTTCTGGAGATCTGACCATTCTAGGCAGGAAAACCGCTCTTTCTGGAAGCTTAACCACCCTATGCAAGAATAGGTGAGCTACCGTGTTGTTAGCAGTACGACGACGTAAACAAATGTCGACTGATAATGATTTATCGACACCCGCCAATGTGTAATCGTTCCACCGTAGCTCACCTATTTTCTAAGGTTTTACCCTTCCCACCGTGATTGAAACCATTTGAACTAGGTCCATCCTGTGACTAAAAGGACAAGTAACGATTTCCAAGCAATGACATCTTACATTAATCCGTATTAACTGGGGGTTGAGCGCTACCGTGTTCGGCGCCCGTTTTTACATTGGCAGGTGGAATTGAAGAAGAAACGGCAGTACAACCGGAGCTTCGTATTTCAGATGTATGATTTTTCCATGATGAAACAGGCAAAGTAACGAAGTAACACACGATCACCACTGCATCAGCAGCGTTTAATGGGTATCAGAAGGCAAACAGACATCTGCACTCATTCCCTCTCATAACAACTTCCACTTAGTGATGTTTCAAAAATTTAGTCCACTATCGGAGCTCAAAATAGGCAACAATCTCGTATGGCTTAGAGAATCAAGCAAGGCTCAGTCATAACGACTACAGAGGGATAAATAACTGCAATCGCAACTGAAAATAAGACTCACTTGCTCCTCAGTAACAGTTTCTGTGGCGACCGGTTCAGTTTTCGTACAAGACATGATTTCAAAAATCTGCAATACAATAGAATATCGAGGAACTTTCAGAAGCAGATTCTTGTTGAACGTGAAACGCGGACAGCACGAACCAATCAACAGAAGGCAAGCAGGCGTTATATCACCAGACAAGCGCAGCGTTGGAGTCAGTGGTGCACATTGACGCAAACTGTGCAGGCTCATTTTTCAAAATTCATACCTGCGAAGGGAGGGAATCCGCAACCTTCGTTTAAATTTGTTTGTTCACTTCTTGCAGCTTAAGGTATCTGTAAGGTAGAGGTAGCTGTAATTTGAATTGACTTTTGAGAACCTTCCGTTAATTTTTAACAAGTCAACAGTTCCAAGCAGCGATGTTCTAGCCTTACTATAGTATTTTCAGATGTCGGATGACGAGTTCGAGGAGAAAAAAGCCAAAATAGGAGCGAAAGCCAGGACAACCGGTAGGAAAGAGAAGTATGGAGCGCTAGTAATGGTTATTAATTGTGGTGAAACGATGAATGAGATGGAAGACGGTAGAAGCCATTTTTCCATGGCAAAAGAAGCTGCAGATTGGATTCTTTCGAGAAAGGTAGTTTCTCAAAGCGAGCCAGAATTTCTTTTAATCAGTTCGGTTACTTCCTGTTAATAGATGCTCGCGCTCGTTTAAGCTTTCAGCCTGACCCGTCTGGTTGTTATCAGTTCTGTCTGGGAAAATTGTTCTCCATATTCGCCTTTCTTGAAACTTGGCGCTTGTCCTATGTGAAGCTTGTTATATTGGAGGAGGCTAGTACTGGTGCTGAAAAATCTTTCTCTTTGGGGGAGTCACCGGAAAAATGTGACCGAATAACAGGAATGAGTGCATCAACGTAGCAGGTTACTTCCTGCCTCATATCCCACTATGTGAGCTGTGATAGGGAAAACTGATACGTGTGAACCGTTCGGTCTTAATGGAATTGACGTTGGTGGCTTATTAGAATCTGTATTCAGTTGGATATTTCGCACAAACCCCGCCCCCTGTGGACGGAGTCCACCCACCTTAAATGTCCCCATCCTCCTCCTGTACTCCTACCAAGTTTGAGCGTTTTAGGTTCGCGGGGACAGGAGCTATGAATTTCTGGTCGGATACGTACCTTGCACACGCACATACATACAAACGCACACACAAAAATACACAGACATTAGCGGGTTATATTTCTATAGTAGGGTGTTTCACTGGGGTGCGGAGTCATAAATATTGACATACTCGAAGAAAACTTGTTGTTATCGGGTATCGCACTCACTCACTTGACATGAACCTTATGCGCTTTCCCATATTTTTCTGGTGACAAATACATCATAGTTTACCAGGCCCAGCAATAGTAGCGTCAGATTTGAAAACATTTTTTGAAGTTTGTTTTTCTGCTGGATTCTGTTACTTTAATATCTCCTTTTATTTTTGTACAGATCTTCACTCAGTCGAAGGACAAGGTCTCGATCGTATTATTTGGAACTGAGGAGACGAGGAACAATCTTGATTTACCCAATATATGTGTACAGGATGAAGTGTTGTCTCGCATCAGTTTTGATCACCTTCGTTTCCTTAATAGGGAAGTTAGTAACAACTCGAAGTTCGTTGGAAATGGTGAGTGCTGAGATGTTCATGTTGTTACAGAATTCAGACAATTTTTTGCAGCTGTTGATGCGCTTGTCGTAGCAGCCGACTTTTTGCATCAGCAGACCGAAGGCGACGCAGCCGTACAATCGAAGAATATTCTGGTGATTGATTGGCATGATATATTAATCGTAAATCAGGCCCTCTGTTTCACAGTACTTTGTGAATCCTACCTTCAGGGGTCATCATTGGTTTGTTTCATGGTTTTCGGAAAGTTGCTCGTTAATGAGCTATGTCATAACAGAGCCCTAATGCGTAACATTATCGCATGAAACTCGGAACTCCAAAATATTTTTGGACAATTATGGGCTTTTGGTGTCAGTCCCGTCCTTCCCCGCTCCCTGGCGCGAGCTCAGCCCACTGCGAGAACTTCACCATATTCCTTCGGGCTCTTTACTCTGTTTTTTTCGCATTCTAGAACGTTTTCGAGCAAAGTTACCCGGTTATTGATCTTAGCCCCACCCACCTAAGTGCAAGTCTCGCGCTTTTAGAGTATTTGATCACATTCCTTCCCTAATATTTAGGCTTTTTTCAGCATCCCAGAACACCTTTGAACAGAGTAATGAATTCATCAAAAAACACCTTACATTTAAAAGCACGCCCCGCCCTTCGTAGGCGGAGCTCACTGGGTTGAATTCGGTTGTCTTCCGCTATGACCAAAAAATGAAAGTATCTTTTAAGGCAAGGAAATTCGAAGTGTCTGCTTGCATCTGGTAGGCATTGTACATGGTGAAGTACCTTATTACCATGCATTGAAAATCTGACTAAAGTTGAAAATGAAATGAAATAATTGACGTGATCGTTACTTGCCGTTTGACTTAATATAACTATATGTTTCAGCTGTTCACGAATGGCTTGGCAAAGTGCCATGATGATAAAACAAAGGTATCTGCCTTAATCAATGGATTGAATGCCATGGATGCTTCGCTAGTTGTAATGTAAGTTACTATTTCTTTCTTTTTCCATTTGCAGGTTTCAGATTAGTCTAACATCTACAGTAAACTTTACTGAGCTTCCGAATGCGACTTCGTTGTCTTTCATGGGGCATTTTTCTAAAGTCAGCAAAATCGACAGAAAGTTTTTATTAAGGCCTTCAGTAATATTAAAATACTTTTTTCCCCTCTCATGCCAAAAAAGTTCCTAATGGAGAAGATATTAATTGGACACCATTGAAGTTTTCTGAGCCATTGAACATAAGGAGGAGCCATACAGGTCTTCTTTGCATGCGGCCATAGTTTCTGGGAACGCTGATTTCTTGAGCTGTCGTTGGACCTTTTTTTAACTCTATAGCCTTAGGCTGTCGCCCTCACATATTCTTCTCGTAGAGGCTCTCATTTCAGCAATTGTATTGAATCTTATTTCTTTTTATGTAATTTATACCGCGTGATTGACTAATATACCGATAGTCCGAATCCTTTCTTCTTCATCATTTTTCTCTTGTGAAATTATCATTCTCTCCATGAAAGTCTCTTTTCTGATTCTTACTATGTCGGTTACGTCTTCCTAGTCCGATTTTCTTTCAACCGATTTTACGCTTGGTGCTCTGATGGATCTCTAAAATAGTGATCGTAGTTTTCCTTGTAAGTGAATACAGTGCAGAAGTCGCACTTCGTGGATATATGTAAGCATTTTAGAGAAGTAACTGTTGAGTTGAATAGTGTAAAAGCAGCAGGCTAATTCAGCCGAACACGTATTTACATAAGCAATCAATTTCCTGAATAAGGCCCCATTTCACTGACGTTCCTCTGTCAACTGGCAAAACTGAAAAGCAGTGGGATCAGTTTCAGTCCTAACTCACTGTCAAAATAATACGGATATCGGGATAGGATCAATACTGTACAGAATCCGTGATCCATTTGCATGCCCTAGAACTAACATCTACATTGTGATACCTGTTAATCCTATAAGTCAATATTGTGTTTCCTTTGCAGAGGTGTTGACAGTGATTCAGCTAAAGGACACGGTAAGGAAAAAGCTCCATTGTTAGATATCGTCAAGCGAACTGAAGGGATGAGCTACGGCTTCAAGTAAGTTTCTTTTCCGTAGCAATAACGGTGTCAGTATCAGTAAGTAGGAAAGTTACTGGAGCGGATAAGGCAGTTATATGGCTGGTGATGTGCTATAAAGCCATATCCCAAGAGTAAGCAAGCCTAAGACCTATAGGGGCGAAAAGTGAGATGGGTCAGGGTAAAAGTAATATGAACTCGTCCTATTGGTTTCCTGCAACAGAGAATTCAATAAGCAAGCAAAGCATCAAGAAAGAGCTCACAGATACTGCAAGCTCGTCAAGTTACATTCTGATTCTTCCCGATTGAACTGCAAAGTCGGGTTTTATGTCACAGATTTTTGGCGAGTTGTTTTCGTTCTTCAGGTGACAGGCGGACCACTAATAATGTGCTTCTTCTCTTTTCACCTACATTGTTGTGCTCACTGCCTTTGTGATAGAACTTTCTTCGTAACTGTCGCACGTTGTTCTTTTTTTCGGGATGCGGTTTCCGTCGTTCACCATTTCACAACTCCGGTGGTTGATAGCAGAGCAATTCGTAAGAACTGGGAAATAGCGCCAGGAGTTCGTCTTCCACTCGCCATGTACACAAAATCAGTAGCTGCAAAGAATCCTCTGAAGAGCGTGCTTGTAAATGAGGAGGGAACAGAGGTTCATTCTAACTGAACTTCAGCTTGTAAGGCTCCATTCGGTAGTAATGTTCCAGATGCATAGACAATCGCGTTTTATAAGTACGGTTAAATCGAGTGATAGCGCGACGGAGGCGAAACTATCACAATTCGTCGATCTAACAGAAAAAGAGAAGAGGATACAAGGTCCGTCTTCGCTAAAGTCAACACAATGCTTCTCCAACTATTATTCCTTCTATTAAATATTGCAGTGTACTACTTTGGAGACACGAAAGTTCCGATAGAGGAAGAAGACGAAACTCGTTACAATCGACATAATTTCAACGAGGGTGAGCAAAGAGGTTGCATGAAGCTCATCCAGTTCACGAAAAGGGAAAACGTGAGTTCAGCGTTGTACGCCTTTAAAATTTCTTTTCATCCATATTCATGTTGGGTTTTTGGTTGTCTGTGACAGTCAAAATGTCATGAGTTTAGATAAAAGAGTGCTACTTCATCGGTCGTAATTCTTTTGTTGTTGTTCCTGGTTGGGAAAAGAAGACGTCTGAAAGGGATCTGGTTCGTTCCTCTCAACAAAGGTTTTACCCAGCTTCTGATGCCTGAACTTCTATGACTTTCTTTAGGAAGCGATGCCTGCGACATTGTCACTGATCTCTGCTATGTTAGAGAACGATGTCGTGGCTATCTGTCGATATGCTCCTGACGCCGCCAAACATCTGCAGTTGATGGCATTAATTCCTCATCGAGATGAGGAGCTCGATATGATTGTAAGCTTGATGATCAATGAATTAGAATTGGAATAGAAAAGATGTTTTAGTATCTCCAAGCTTTGCGTCTACCGTTTGCCGAGGATATGCGTCCCTTCAATTTTGTCAATGTTTCTGAAAGCTGTCCAAAGCCAAATCGTAAGTACATTAGTAGTTCGAACAAAAGTATCGAAGTTTTATGGAAGCACAGTAACAGCTTCTGAGTTAAGATGTAATCTCAATTAATTTTGAGTGGTATGAAAGCGTGGTATGACTTGCACTTGTTGTTGAGAAATGAAATTGGAGCTCCCAAGAAGTCTTCTGATGACGAGACAACCAAAAAAATGAGATGACCTTCTTTGTTTCCATCTGGAAAGGGAAGCATACCAGGTCGATGTAAATTGCGTTAAATATTTTCAAACTCTGATCACAATGTAAGGTTCCCAATCTGCGAAACTATCTCTGAGTAAAGGTGCAGAANCCCAAGAAGTCTTCTGATGACGAGACAACCAAAAAAATGAAATGACCTGCTTTGTTTCCATCTGGCAAGGGAAGGATACCAGGTCGATGTAAATTGCGGTAAATATTTTCAAACACTGATCACAATGTAAGGTTCCCAATCTGCGAAACTATCTCTGAGTAAAGGTGCAGAAGCACTTCGTGTGGTCTGAGATTCTGTCGAACATATGAAGGATTCGGTTAACTGTCTTGATGTCAAGTGATGAAGCAGTGAACTCACAAACGCGTCATGATGATTTACACTCTTGTGAGGTGTACGTATGCACTTGTTTTGTTGTTTCACCAGTCGGGTCGCCTGGGAGTGTGCGAATATTTGTGTGATCGCACCTAACCAAGCTCGTCTCTTTTGAAACATCCTCTATTTCTGATATCAAGCGATACTAGATGATTTCCTTTTGCACTTAGATCCACTAGCTCTGTGTGGGTTATGATTACATCAATTGGCATTGCCTAAACTTTTATTTGAACTTATTGCAGATAAGCAAGTTAACCTGATTGATGAGCTCATCGATGTAATGCAGTTCAACACTGAAAACGGGTACGTTTATTACCTGAAAAATTAGGTGATTTTAATTAGTGGCTACCCACATGGTTCCCTCAGTTATTCAGCTTATTTCAAGGTGTATGGACCCTGAGTGTGTCTTGAATCCATTTTTTCAACGACAGTGTACGGCTATGAAGCTGAAGGTGTTCAACAATATCAACAGTAGGCACTCACATTTTTCTTTTCTTATTTTAACAGATTCGCGTGAGATTCCGCAAAAGCTTTTTCCAGTTTAAGATGACGATTCGAAGATTGCTGACTTGATTGCACCGTCGTTGTTCCTGAAGCGAGGGCTTGAGCCGAGTTCAGAATTGTTGAAAAAAGCAGAGTAAGGTTTTTGGAAATAGTTTCGGAGAACCAAGAGCGCATGAAAATTATGTATCACTTTCAATAGTTATGTGCAGGCTAGGCCCCTTTTAGTGTCTCCAGTCGTTCAAGGCCTTAGACCCCTGGCTTCTTTTTAGCAAAGCCGATTTATACATTGGGTGGCCGTCAGAGGAAGGGATTGCTGAACTTCTATTGTTTAAAAAGACTAATTCATTTGCTCAAGCATCTCTTTGCCTTCCATGTGACTTTTCAGCATTTTCGGGTCTAGGCTTTGTTGATCAAACGTATGAGTGGCGAGTATGATTAGTATCCTATGGTCTGTCTTATGGTTTTTCTGTACTATATCCGATGTCAGGCACGTTCTAAATGCAGTGGGTGCTGATGACACCGGATTCAATCTACAGGAGGTTGTCAAGGCAAAAAGAATCAAACAAGAAATTCGACAAGAAGACATTTCGGAGTGGCTGGCTGAGTTAGAAGCAGTCCAAGAAGATAGCAAACCATCAGTGGAGGTCAAGGTAGATGTTCCTATTATGTCATGCATCAGTTTTGCAAGTTAAATCTACCATTTTTGTAGAAGCGTCCCCAAAACCGCTTTATTGATCGTGCTCGAGCTCGTCTCAGTGATAACTTCGAATACCATATGTCATCGCTGTTGGAGGAAGTGGTCGTCATGGTTTCTGCTGAAGACGAGGAAGCTGAACAACTTTACGAGGTTTCATTTTGAATGTAATCGCAAAGGAGACTGCTGAGCGTTTGCAGAAGGAGACTGTGCTGTACCAATCGACGGCCCTTGGCCCTCGATTGATATCCTGCAGGTCGACAACTTACGGTATTGTATTTATCGCCTATTTGACATATTTAACACATTCGAAGTGAAGTTGACACACACTTGAATCCATGAATCGCTTGGGCGATTATTGAACACTTAATATTAGGTTAAAAATTATGAACAGTGAATAACGGTAAACGGTAATTAGAAAAACAACAAAAAAAACTTTGTGAGAAGCGAATTCGTACCCAGCAGATGCTTCTGAGCGATCATTTCTGAATCTCGATCAGAGTGAAGGGTGAAGAATAAAGTTTAGGCTTTGACAGATCACGTTGAGCTGGCGCCCAGAGGCTTTATCCTTTACATGTTGGGCTTCGCACAATAATACGTGTGTCGCAACAAAGAACTCGTTGAACGGAGATAAATTTTTGATCTGAGCTTCACTCCTCGAGGAACTGGCTATAGGCTGCGATGAGAAGGTTCGGGAAGCTTACATTACCGTTGATGGCTTTCTCTCAGATTTGTTGACCTATTCCTAAATTTTACTCATTTTTCCCGTTGTCTGGATTTTCTGAAGTAGATTTGTGAAACCTTTTCTCATTGCACCGTTTATTTCGATGAATGCTGAGCCCCTTGGGGGCGGAGTATCCCTGATATGTGCTCTCATGATTTTGACCGAAGTGTTACAATTAGCCATCCCAAAGTTGACCCGACCTCTTCAGGTAAAACCGAATTTTGGGACGGACAGAAATGAATTCTAATGATCAAGACCTGACATGTAGAATGATTTTGGGACGTTAAGGAGATTTTCGTACGGAGTTGTCAATCTTCGATATTATTAGCTCCGCCCGCCTCAGTGGGAGCTCACTTGAGGGCCGTCTCCGATAACGTCTATCTACTTCTTTCCCACATTCAGAACGTTTTTTTGAACAGAGTTGTGCACTTTCGGACTTAGCTCTGCCCACCCTACAGCTCTGTCCGCTTCAGGGATTTGACCATATTTTTCATGCCCAGCACGCCATAAGGCCTTGCTCACTCCTTTCATTTTTTCTCACCCCCACACCTTCGTTGAATCGTCTTATGAAGTTATATGAGAGTGTTGCGCACTGCAGGAACGCTCCCCATCCCTCAACTTTGCTCATTTTTTTTCGTCTGGCGTCTGGGCCGTTATGAAACCTAAGCGTGAAAGGTTTTGCTCATGACACCGCCTACTCTGTGCATATCCTGCCCCCTGAGCTCACATATGCTCTTTTGGTCTTGCCCTGTGCCCAACTCATCTCCAACTTGACCCATCTTCTACATCAGCTAATATCGCATTTTCGTATGAACAGTCAGACAAAGACGCAAACGCGTTGATTATAGATGCTAGATGTTGGATGTTAGATAGATGATAGATGCTTTAATCATGTTATATACGGAGGCGTCAGCCGTCGGTAGTGTGAATGCCATCATTGGTTGTGGTCAGCTGAACTGGACTAGGTCGATCTTTATGGTGGAGATACTGCTTAACTAAATGGGGAAAACCTCTAAAGTGCCATTAAGTAGCAGTTGTCAAAGGTAATATGTAATATTTCTTGTACTCCACGGAATTGATCCCATCTGCTGACTGAAATTCTATCTTTCGGACGCTCTAGTTGGGTACAGGAGGTAGGAATTTCAGGACATACACACAGATCGACAAACACACCCACGGTCACAAACCAGCGGAGACACTTAGCAGAATAGGATTCGTTTAGGATGTACTTTGCGATACGCTCCAAAAGGATAATGGATTAAGTCCTGAGGCGGAAATTAATCCCGTCAGAGGGGTGCGCCATTGCATCCGACACCTTTTCAGAATTGTAGCGGCGTATTGAATGCGTTTGTGGCCTATACAATGACTTGCGGTGGCCACTCGATGTGCAAGTCAGTGCTTCTACCCTCCCAGGCGGGTCTGGTACCAATTGAATGACTCCGGAGGGATGGAACGCTTGGTTGGTCTAAGCGGATATGATCCAAGATTCGAACTCGTGGCTATGCGTGTATGAAGTGCGCCACTGGCCACTGCACTGCGCTCTTAATCCTAATTAATCATTTTGGATTAGAAGCGGTTGTGACTCAGTGGAAAACCTGAAGTGCAGAGAGGTCGCTCACGCTGTGCCCTCCACTGTTATTATCAGTGCAGGTCAAAGGTTTAGCTCGGCCTTGAAGAAAACGGGCAAAGCAACGCAACAGCAACTTTTGTCCTTAATCGGCACATAGAATCGCTAATCCTATACTTTTCAGATTGCTCGCGGACGTATTGCGTCTCTTCGAAGCTTGGCAATCGAGTTCGGAAAACCGAATGAGTTCAATGAGTGGCTTCTGTTTTCAAAGACTCAATGGCCGGAGTGGGCGCGTTTCTGTGCATCAAGTATTTTGTTTTGTAAATTATAAGTAGAGTTTTATCCGTTACCCCATAAGGTTCGTGTACATTTGATCTATAGCAGTGTTTTCAATGTTCAGAAGGAGGTGACGCGCCTATCCTAATTTCGAATTCTGAGTGCTCTGCTTCTGAGTATTCGAAAAAGGAAAGTGCAGCTTTATGGAAGGGATGTAATTAATCAGAAAGGGTAAGAATGAAAGTCTTCTGTTTCGGGCCTCTAAATACCAAGCATTTAGGCTGCCGTCGTCGAACTTGCGGAATCTCGGACTGTCATAGCTACAGTTAGACAGATTATTGTTTTAATTGGTGTATAATACTGAAATAAAACATGTTTATTTGTTCGTCAACCAACTGCGCTCGGAGGCTTTCCTTTTTTCCTTCTATTAATCTATTTCGAATGAGTTGAATTCTCTTTGCTGTAGCGGTTGGCATGTCATCTCCTGGACTTTATGAGAAGGTGTCACCCACGCTCACTATAGAATCGTGAGTATTTAATATCTGTTTCCGAGACAGTTTCGAAGTATTTCCAATTTTCTTATAGGGTTCCTTCATTTAGAGCAGATTTTCTCGTTATTTTATGGTAATTTAGTGTGGCAGCAGAGGTCAAACAGTTGTCAACCGCCACTGTGAGCGATGCTGACTCTGTACTTGTAAAGGAAGTTCTACGAAAGGTGATGGTCCAGAAAATCATATATCCACTAGTAAGAGGAGGTACGAGGATTTGCAGGAAGCTGAGGGCAAGACGCCGTTCTATCTATTGCCCTCATCGAATCAAGTGAGCATATGCGACGTGGTGTATGAGTCGGCCAAGCAACGTGTGATAATTAATGATTATCAAAAGGCGATCACTGAACAGCAGATCCTTGTGAGGGTTTCGGAAAAGTCATTCGAAAGTATCCCCAGTTGTGTAGTCGGACTTTTTAGGCCTTCACACAAGAAATTCAACGGATGGCGAAAAAAGACGAAACGGGCGCCTGTCACATTAAGATCTCAAATTTATACGTAAGAAATTTTTGGTTTGGCTAGAAATTTTCAGAACTTGCAATGTCTTTTTTAGTCGGTCCTCTCTCGTTCTCCGACAGAAGTTCGTGAATGCTTTAAATGTCACGTGATTAATAAATTGATGCGCGCCAGTAATACACCCACTGGAAGTATTTCGTGCCAGCTTTTAGGTAGGTAATCTACTGGTTTCCAAGCATGATCGAAGGTTCTCGTTTGAACAGTTTATTCTTATTCTTAGCCGACTTCTTGGTAATTTGCTGTCGACGATCCCAACAACGTCTCCTTCTACATAGTGCTGCTAGATCAACTGATTATATAACCGCAAATGTGAGCTTGTTTCAAACAAAAGTATTATTAATTTATGAAATTTAGGAGTTCCTCATTTCAACTAGGAAATCCTCTTTGCAGTGCATTGAATGTGCAAGTGCAACCCTACAATTGCATTACAGTAGTGGTAATGTGGCGTACTGAGCCGCAGTCATTAGTATTGGCCTAGTATTGTAGTTGAATCACAGGTGGGCCAAAATTATGGTGACAGCGCGCGCGGACGCTCTTTTTTTCAGAGTTTATAATATTTTATCCGTTTTCTTGCAATTATAAAGGTGGTTTACGTTATTTCCTTCCTAGTGATACAGAACTTTTGGCAGATTTTCAGAATAATGGTGACGTCACTACTTCGTGAAGCAAACATCCTTGCATTTACAAGTACTTTTGGCACGGTAATCTGCAGACGGCTAAATGTAGCAAGGCAGCCGGTATATCCGACCATCAGATGCTTTTGAGAATTGGGAACAAATCTGGATCGGAGGGGTAGGCAGAAGAAGCCTACGGTTACATGCTGAAGGGGCGTTAAGAAAACGAGGAGGGGAACTTCGTAACACATGAAATTTTCTTCGCAGATCGTGAAAATTCATCTGCCCAACAAGACTCATGCTCGATTGGAAATTATCTTTTGGTTGAACAGGCTAAAGAGAAGAGAAAGGACAGCCTACATTAACTGATAAACCGTTTCAGGAGAAATCGTTGTAGACAACCCTGTTCACCAACGAGAAGATACGGTAGAAAATGTGCTCGATAAGCAAAACGACAGAATTTGCGCGTAGTCAAAAGGAAAAGAAGTGATACAGCGGAAGGCTCGTTTACTTACTTTAATGGTCTTTGCGGCATCGTTATCTCGAATATGTTTCCCAACAAGCCGGAGACAATTCGTTGATACTAGCTGTGTGCCACCGTTGATGCCTACTTTCGTCGCTTTCGGGCTTGAGTAAAAGCAGAAGTTACAATGTACGGTTTTACTGAGAGATTAGTGATAAACGCTTATAAATCGGTTGTTCTATCAGCTTCCTATTCGTTTTTGAGGATGTGATAACTGTGTCATCATAATTTTAGCCCACCTTAATCCCCTTTCATTTGATACGAAGTTTAGCAATTTAACATAACCCTATGTGGCATTAAAATACACAATGTATCACTCAAATTCAAACTTTTATAATTAGATAGCTGAGAAATTTATTTTCGTATTTACAGGAATTTCTTGATCT